CAAATCAAATATAAAACGCCCTGAACAACATGCTGAAAATATAAACCCCTCTTCTGGATTAGTAACAAATAAAAACAGGCGAGAAACGTTTACATCTACCTACCTGGATCATGATTAGGTACGATCATGATTGGTCATGGATAATCATGGAGATAAAATATATACACACCACCCACTGGTGTAATCGTCATCTTGAATTGAGCATGTTTGAACCCTTTCATCCCGAGGACGGATGTCCATGTTACTTCAGGTTTTATTTCTACTGCTTGTTGACACTGTAGCTGCATTTAAGCTTTTACTTTGACATGGCCTCGTTATCTGTTGATAAAGGCTTTTCCTCCACACTGAGGGGCTGAGCCAAAGTGACAGAAGCTCTGCTACACCTCGGGCTCTGTAATCAACAACCAGTGTCAGACATCAGTATTGAACGCCTCGTCCACTCCTCCTAAATCTCAGCTGTCACTCTCTTTTCAGTAGAAGTCAGTCAAGCACAGAGGAAACTGTCTGTTCACTGAAACTCTTTCAAATTCAGACTGGGATATAACGCATACATGGTTTTCAGTTGTAAACTTTTAAAATGTTAGGCAGATTAATTTTTTTAGTTTCAACTTTTCTTATTTTTTTCTGTTCTTTCCTCTAAAACAAACCTTCTAACTGTTCCATATGATTACATCTGTGTCACTGCTCTGCTGACAGTGTTGTTTTGTCTTTCTGATTTTCTGCTTAAACTCCAGATATTAAACCTGAAAGCAAGAAAGTGTTATTTTTTTATGCCATATTATCACAGCTGGAATCAAATGGTGTGGAAAGTGGTTACAAAACAGTCAATTTATGAAAAATGAACAGAGCTTATGCAATCTTGTTTACCTCTCTGACTACTGAAAACAAAAGCAGATTTCCATGTTAGTGCTGTTAGAAAATCTGTCCAAGATAAACTCGATGGATGGATGGATGGATGGATGGATGGATGGATGAACAGATGGATGGATGGATGGATTGATAGATAGTGCTTTTATGTGTGGAAAAAATATATTCCTTACCTAATGTGAACCTAGGGTTGTTTTGTTATTATTTATAGCCACATAGTTATAGTATCAATTGATCAAATGTAGGATGAACAGAGTCAAACAGAGGTCACATGACTTTGTTGTTCTGGTCCAGGATCAGATAAAGACACAACAGATAATGAGAACTGTGTCTACAGGGTGAGAGTTTTATCTTCACAAAAATACCCGTGGGACAACGAAAAACTAACTCTTCTCTCTTTATTAGATGTTTAAAATCGACTTCAATGGGGAGAAGAACTCAGTTTTGCTGTATGACTTCAGAGAAACTAGTTTGACATAATGGGTGCATTAAGGTAAACGTTCTCTCGACTTGTGATTTTCCCCTCGGTTAACCATCATCCATGCATGATTGAACCTGTTCATTTGGCTCCGTAAACAAAGGCCGAAAAGAGATGAATCAATATAATTTTTCTTGCCTTTTTTGTTGACCACATATTTATACATGCAGAGCAAACAACACATTAACATTCACAACAGCCACTGGCTTTTCAGGCTGCCTGAGAGCCTACAGCTTGTTCCTCACGTTCCAATAGCTGCACTGAAGAAGGAGCTGGTTAAAGCTGCTCGCCACGTCACACAAACACGACCGCGAACGGGCGGTGAATGTCAATGTATCACAGCTTATAGGTTAATTGAGGATTTTTAAATAAACTTCAGCCATGTTTGTGTTTTTTTTTGACCATTTGAGGTGCGACAGCAAAGCTCAGAAGATTCTGAATGCATTGGGTTTCCCAGAGAAGTGTGCAGCTGTTATTAGGCCTGACAGACTAATGGGACAAAGTGCTGGCTGTCTCCCGCCGGTCTTTACAGCAGTGAAGAACAACACAGAGAGGGAGAGAAGCAGTGAAGACTTTTGTAGGATTAGGAAATTAAATACAATCCAAAGAATTAGCAGTAATATTAGTACTTTTAATTAGAGGTATTGGTGTGCTGGACATGATTATGGTCAATGAAAGAACATTTGTCAGGATTAGCGTGGACCAGAGTGGACCTGTGGCTGTCAAATGTTAACTAACTGTGTGGGTTTTGTGTGGTTTCAGCAAAGTAAAGACGAATACTGAAAGATATTCTTCTGTTTATGTCATTGTACCATCAGGTCTGTGTACTTTTTCTACTGGACTTAAAGACAGCCTGTCCTGACACTGGACGATGGGATTGTAAAGATAACCGTCAATTTAAATGGCCCACGATTCTTCACAGTATTTAAATGTGTGATTCCTCTGTGGTCGACAGTGGAAATTGTCTTGCATTTTATCTGTTAAATAAATATGTTTTTAGTTAATGGTTTAATTCAGCGGATCAGCGGGTCCCCCTTCAGGGGCGCAGAGCTTTTGCAAGGTGGCAGCGCAGGGCAAATTCATTATAATATTAATTATAATCTTTTTTTTTCTTAGTTTGAGCCAAAGTGGAGAATTGGACTGTCGATTTATTTTTTTTGTTCAATAGAAGCAGCAGTTTTTTTTGTAATTACATTTGTTTACAGCAGTTTTTGGGGTGCTGATGTACAAGATCTTTTTAATCAAATTGATATTCTGATCAGAACGTAGAGTTTCAAAATCAGGAGGCCCAAATCCAAACTTTTCTTTTAAAGCCATTCCCTTCTTCTTCCATGTGATTAACCAGAAAAATTCTCAGGAAAACATTCGGGTCTCTCCCAAATGATCAAAGATAGACACCGACAGCACAGTTCCTGTGTTTGTTCCTGCTCCTAAATAACCTACTCTGTGTGCACTCTGATCCGTGCAGACACACAGCTGGATTAGTGATGCTCTAATGGTAGCTGAGGAGAACATTCCCCCTGGTATAGCTGAGCCTCATCCAGAAAGTGATAAGAACCAACACCCGCGAGATGACGATAACCAGAGCTGTATTTATTCAACCTCCGCGTCTTTGACTCTTTTTTACAACTGAGGCGGCAGAACTCCTCCACTGCCAAAAGATTGTCTGTGTGTGTCGCTGCCAGCTCCTCTGTGGATTTCATACACCAGTTTTATTATCTGTTCGGAATTTGAAAGGCTCCAAATTTCACCTTGAGGGTTTTTTGCCAAGCTGTGGGTCGTGACGCCTCTCCCTCCTCGACCCCCCGTGGTGGTAGTGTTAGTGTAGTCTTTATGCGTCTCCGTGCACGGGAGTATTTGCATGTATAGCGTACCTGGAGGGCTTTGAGTTGACATGCTGTCTGCACACACTAATGTGTAAAAACAGCTTTTCAAAGTCAAAGACTCCTTTAAATCTGGAGAGTGTGTGAGTCAGTGGTGGACTCTCTCTGTGAGGCGTGTGTGTGTGTGTGTGTCAGACAAGGTAACAGAAAAGACAACACTCAGCTCATGCACACTCTGATGGACACCAGTGACCGTCCATCCTCACTGATGTCCATTCGCTTCAGTGACCATGTGTTTTGTGACGAAGTCCAAACCAAACACTGTTCCTTCAGCAGAGTTCTCTGTGTAAACACTGACCATCGTTCCACTGTCAATTAAATAAATGGAAAGTCCGACTGAGCTTCCTGATATATCACTTCTCTCTGTCATAACATACACGGTGCAGGATGATATCCATTCTCTCTCTCCACCCGTGTTTACCCTTCGAACCGAGGCCACTGTTGCCAGGAGCCAGAGGCCAACTCCAGCGTCTCCAGGCACACATATCTAATCCAGGGTGAGAAATGGTGGCGAGAAGACTTTGTGACAAATAGTGAGAGGAATGGCCCTTTATTGGTTTCCAGGAGAATTTTTACTGCCACATCCTACAAATAAATAAAGCTTGAACTAAGGTGGAGTCCTGAGGGAGCTTGTTTATCAGGTAAACTACAGCGCCACTCGCCCACGGTTCGTCCAAAGTCCGCAGTATTTCAGAATATTTTATTAACACTTTCATGTGATATTCTTCTCAGTGGCTGCATTTAGGTGTGAATAATTTCCTCTACTTATGGCTAATAAATGTAAGGGCTTCTCCCAGACTAATACTACCCAATGGGGCACACACTAAGGAGGGAGCAAACACACTTCCTGCGCACTCCGACACACCGCTGCACATTTAAAGGATATTTACTGATCACAGAGTGCTGCCCGCGGCTCTTTTTCTTTTTTACTGGCACGAATCTGAGAGCAAGTATTCTCTATATTTTTTTCCCCACCCGTTCCTCACATGAGCTCGCTTTTGTGTGAATACACAAAGGAAACCTCCTTTCTCCTCCGCTCCTCTGTCTCCTGAATCACATCATGTGCCACCATGCGTCTCCCACACGCCTGTTTCCAAGTTACCAGCAGTGCCGGCTGCCAGTCCAGCTTAATTGCCTCCTGTGTAGAGTGACGGCTGAGGAGCGGTGATGAGCGTGAGCCGTCCTCGCCTCTTCCTGCTGCTCACTCTCTGCTACTCTTCTAAGGAAGAGGATCCACCTGTGAACTGTGAGCTCTGTGTTTGAGGAATAACCTGGGCTGTAACTGAGTGTTATATTAATAGGTGGTCAATCAGATAGTGAGGACTGTGAGTGTCAACTGTTGGTGTTTAAAAACAGGACATTTGACACACCACGTGTTGGTTCTACATTCATATTGAAGCCTAATTAAAAAAAACACTTTTTAAAAAACTCATTACAACAACAGTGGTTAATTGTAGTATTAGTGAAGTCATTGGTTGACTAACTTATAATGGCAGCCCCAGGAAGAAGACAGTGGTGTCACAGAAACTTCACCTCAGACTGACCCTGACTTACTGCATCAATCTTTGTCCGGATAATAGTGTAAAGAATTTTTGTTTTGGTTCAAAAAATATTTACTATTATTATTAATTATTACTATTTTAATGCAGTAATTGACAGGAAAAGACGAGGAAGTGCGTTGTCAGGTAGGACAAAGTAAAGAACCTCCGGGGTCAGACAACAACAGCAGCAGTCGTGTCTGTTTTAAGCCGTGAACACCTTTTCTCACCCACCTTATCACAGGAGTCTGGAGGAAAAAGAAGGGATCTTCTGGCTCACTCCTTCAAGAGGAATTCACCACCCTGTTGCTCCTTGTTCTGGTTTTCTTTTGTCGTGCCTTCCTCATGAATAGATCCTCCTCATCCTCCCCAGGACCAGGGATAGAAATGTAGAAGGAAGCCAGGCGGAAGAGCAAGAAAAACACAGGAGAAGATAAGAAACACACTCTTCTCGCCCGTGAGTCCTTCTTGGCAGTGAATCCCAATCTGTCTAAGCACAGCGGCTGAGGGAGAGAGAGGAAGTGTGACTGAGAGAGAGGGCAAGGGAGAGAAAAGGAGGGGGAGAGAGAGAGAGAGAGAGGGAGGGAATGAGTGACTGTGAGAGAGCGAGAGAGAGAGAGAGAGATATAATATGAGACAAAGTAAGTGGGCGAGTAAGTGAGACAGAAAAATGAGAGTGAGCGTGTGTGAGTGTTTGTGTTTGCACGCATGTGTGTGTGTGTGTGTGTGTGTGTACCGGAGGGTGATCCTCTATACTGTGTGCGCTCCTGTTTATCTCCCTCTCTGTCTCCTCTGTGTGCATTCCTCCCAGACACAAGCCACAAGGTCAGCTGCTTTTACAGTAACATCAGTCCGTTTCCTCGGGAGAGAAACGACTTCCCCTTCCATCACCACTCAGCTTCACTAATGAAGGAAATCACCTGGGATTTTGATGCTTTTTAATCATTGTTTTTTTTTCTCCTCTGTTCTCTCTCTCTCTCTCACACACACACACACCCAGCCTTTCTTTCTATACATTAATGCAATTTATGCATCCATCTCCGATGGGCTTCAAGCACATTTATGAATGATCAGAATGTGAGCAGCCACGATAGTCAAGGAATTGTAAGATTTACTCTAAGATATTGTGAAAATAACATTAGCATTTTTCGCTTGTATTATATAAATATACATATATATGTGTGTGTGTGTGTGTATGTGTTGTTGATTTTTCTTTTTTCTGGTAGCATGGAATCGATGTTTAGAACCTACTGTGAGCAGCACACTGGCCATATCGAAACTTTGCTCTTGGACAAATTCACGTGGTAGAATTGAAATGATGATGTCAGCATCACTCCGCCACCGACACCTTCACACCCGGTGATTTTGTGAATTACCTCTCACATGGGTGCAGCGCGGCAGCCCGTCGTTGCGGGTCAGATGCTTGTTCCATCGACTGTAGAGGTGGGGGAAAAAATACCATCCGTGACTTTTAGTGTGGCACGATCGGCGGTGTATTTCTGTATCTGTAAATCTCCTGGGATCCTCACGCACAGGCTGTTTCTCAAAAAATAATAATAATAATAAAAAACATCCAGTCAGCGTCAGTTCTTCACAAGAGAAGAATGTTTCCACTGAGACTGTTTAAGCACAAGATGAAGGCCTAAAATAGTATTAGTTTGGACTCCATTACAGTGCCCAAACCCCAAATGTCACATCTGCCGGCCAGATTTACCGAAAAACTGTCTCCTCTTTTTTTCAGTAAATACAATGAGTCATTTTGTTGAGAATGAAATTGTTTGATTACGACATATGTGGGAGAAGGCTGCTATTGTTACTGCCAGTGGCCTGAAAAATTTCAATTATGGTTAAAAAGAAATAACAATTTGCATGTCACGCTACCTAATTAAATAAATTCACTGCTGCTGCAGTCAATAAACAGAACATCCGACAGCTCAAATATTAAAAACAATAATAATAAAAAGAGATAAAGAGATATTTAGGATGGATCGTGTCATTTCCCTCATCAAGTTGTTTGACTCAAAAGCAATTTCTCTGATTAATAGAAAAACATTCAAGGGCACAAAAGTGAAGTGTCCTTACATTTGTTTGGCTCAAGTTTTAATTAAATTGAAATACCTGTGACTAAAAACAAGTTTTGTTGCAGTCCTATCCTGGACGGGAGTTCCGTTAAATCCAGCAGACATCACCATCAGCGTCAGGTGTAGCTCAGTGGAAACTCTCTCTCTTTCTAGAACGGTTATCCAGTTCCCTGAAGGTGACCAGGCTAAAATCACAACCACTGGGTCTGACTGCGTAACTGTAAAACACCAGTAGTCCTCCAGGTGTCAGCACATCTGGTTTGTACGCTGTCACAACATGAAGAAGTGACAGTCTGCTTTTCCCCCTCGCTCCACTGACACAGTAACCAAAGACCCTGAAGAGTCCCCCCTGGGGGCCGTACACCCGGGGTCGATATGCACACAAAGCAGCGGATCAATCAGGTCTCATACACACACACACACACACACACCGGTGAAAGGTGATGCAGGGGCCAGACTTACAGCTTCCTCAATTACACTGATAAAGTGTCAAATACTGTGGATCACACTAACAGACACCAGCGCCACGGGGGAAAGTGACAAGGAGCCTCAGTCACACCGGGCGTGAAGTGAAGGAATGAACATATGGCCGTGTCATCTTCACGCTGCACGTTCACCCGCTTCCCAATCCAGAGAGGTGCTCCCGCGGAGCACCGTGGGTGCTGTGTGGTCTCAGTTGGCGGGTGATGTGTCAGGACACATGGTCCCAGACATCAGGACGAAGGAGCAGCGATGAACGCAGAGCTCTGCGAGACTGACAGCGAGGCCTCGGCCACGAGGAGCAAGAATGGAGCTGTACCGTGGTCAGCCATCTGGAAGAAGACTCAGGAGTGGTTGGTACTGTTTGAAGAGGATGGGACGCATGTGTTACCCATTTATTAGTTGGACCATGTAGGATTAGAGCAGTGGTTCGCAATTATCTTCTGCCACACTCTGTCGACCGTCTGAGCGACACCCCCGCAATTGAAATACTAAAAAATATAAAAAAATATACTGCCACCTGACTGGAGGCTTGTTATCATTCAAGCGTTACAGCAGTGGTCCACTTATGTCCAGTGTGCCATATGCCATTGGAAGCCCCTCACGCCCCCTCCTGGCACCTCACCGCGCCCCCAAGTACTAGATTAGAGGATACATCAGAAGGTGGTACAACAGATGGTACTGCATATACACCTGTGACAGTTCACTACAGTCAGTGGCATAGACTCAGCCAATCAGGTCAGCTTTCCACCTTTGGTCTAACATCAGTTCCAGAAACACAAAGAGTGTGTGATGCGCTGGTTTAAAATCCATGGTGTCATTGATATTATTTTCAGTACAACCGTAGTTTACGTGTTCTCCTCACATGACTCCAAAAAAAACTTCCACCAAATCCTAAAACATAAATCTCTCTGTCACAGCTGTGGTCTAATTTAACATTTTTGTTGCAGTTGTTGCTTCTGTGTGCAGCAGCACGCCCTCGGTGGCACGTAGTAAATATTGCACGGTTCTCTTACAACTTCTATGAAATATTGAATGTTTTGAAGTCGGTAAAATGGGTCAAGAGAAAGAAACCCAGAGCAGGGACACTGCGTCTTGATCGTCTGAGGCAAATAGACACACAGCATATCCAGCAACCGATGTTCGAGGGCAGGAAATTTGAAGGTGTTCTAACAGTTTAACGTGCGCTACACGGAAAAATCACAGCGTGTTCACCTCCGAGTACAAACCCTCATCAGAACAGGTGGTGAAGGATTTGTTTCTCTGGTATCACATGGATTAAATTCCTCCAGCTTAAAGTGACAGTCACTTCCTCGTTCCTCTTTCTGTTACTTGTCCTTCCTTCCTTGGACATTTACTTGTCAGCCAAGCTCTGGGAGATTTCTCCAAATCTTTTTTTCTGCAAAGCTCTGTCGAATCAGTTTCTACAGTGCACTAATAAAGCAGCGGGGTGTTTTAATACAGATGTCTTTAAATGTTTGGACGTTGGCTCAGCTCTGTTGTTTGGTCCAAAGGGTCTGTCCTGTTGTTTCTTTTCCTCCCTCCAGCCTCTACTTGTCTCTGGAGCCGGACTACTTTGGCTTCGTGGAGAATCTGAAATAGTGGTGGAGACATAAACCGGGGTTCCTTTCTGTCAAATGCAGCACACTATGAATTATTATCAAGTAGCTGAGGCTCTGCAGTCCCACGGGTGAAGACATGAGTGAATGTTTTCGTCGAGCTTTTCTGCTTCACCACAATACACTGAGGAGAGCGCGTGTAAATCCCTGCATGTTCCTGCATGTCCTGTGGTCCTCGGACGGACACTGCTCATAGGAAACATTCATCCCAGTTCTTTCTAATGGTTCTCCTGACATTTAGGGTCAGAATTGATTTTGCTCTGTGTAGAAGGGGAAATTAATTTGAAATCGCATGACATCAGACCATCTCACTTTGTTGTTGTGCACGTGTGAAGTGGACGGGACGTCTCCCAAAAAATGTGGCGCATCTCCGACTCTCCCTTTGATCAAATCAGACTGCAGCTGCTGCTGCAGCTGCTGCCAGTCTTTATGAAACATATTAGACACAACATCAGGTCTCTGTACGCTAATCCCCCAATGACTGGTTGTCTGCGAACCTTTCATCCTTTGGAGAAGTGTGTAATGCAATTGCCTTGAAGGTAGCCCTGCTCGTTGGAAAGATGTACAACTCATTGGGAAGCAGCGCGATGACACTTGATGTTAGTAATTACAGACGTTAATTACAAATGGCTCAGTCATCTGAAAAATATTGGGGCACTTTTTCCCCTGAAAACAAACAGCCATCAAACAGACTGGTTTTTATTGCTCTGTTTGAATACTTGTCCCGAGTTGAGCTAGAGGGAATAACAAAGAGGGATTTCATGCTTATTTACACTTAGACAAATTAGCTTTCATTGTTGCGGAATATAAATTTGAATTGCATTTGTAGATCAAATTACTGCTTGGCAGAAAGATTTTATGAGACTCTGCTGGAGAGAGGAGTAAAAACCTCAAAGTAAACTTCTGCTTCTCTGAGTTTTTCACTTGTAGCAAAAATAGGGGGAAAAAAAGCCTTTTCTGACGAGTTTTTAATCATACCTCAGCTGTGTTTTGTTTTCTGTGAATCAACTGTATGTCTAATGACTGCTTTCATTTTCCTCTCCTGCTGCTTGTGCGCAGACAAATAGGTTCTGGCATCTCGCAGAAATAACTCCGCTGTCTCAGAAGTTCGCTCCCCAAACTTTGAACTTGTGCAGCCGCCGTCAGCACTGCCAGGAGTCAGGTCAGTGATGGTGTTACTTTTTATATTCCACCGTCATCATTTAATTACTAACATGTGTGCTGTCAGAAGACAAAATAACCCAGCACACTGTTGTACTTGGTGTCTGCTTTTCATCTTGACTTCACGTGTCATATTGGAAAAAATGTGAACTGTTTGTGCTGAAATGATTCACCATTAGTGGTGAACAGAAATTGTATTTTAAAAAATATATAAATTATGAACTGAATTCATACAGAATTCTTCTTGAAAGCTGATCAGAGTCCGCTATCTTCAATCTTTTTGCTAAAAAATTCTATCAAGTGTCAGAACAGCTGCGCGGAATATTTCACACTTATACTTTGGCAGCATTTGTGCTCTTTCCATCTCTGCTGGTGTTCAAACAACAAAGGCTCAGTGTGGCGTCACCTATCATGACATTTCACTCTGAAGCCTCAGTGGGGTGAAATACTGTCACATCCATTTTACATGAGCTGTAGGGTGGATGGCCTTAAAAACAAACACACACTTTTTGGGGGAAAATAATTAGCATTCAGGACAGCAGTTAGCTGAGTTAGCCTGAACAACAAGGATATACATTAGCATCTCTCAAGGATCCTCGTGGCAGCTTTTAATTCATTTTACTGACACTCGTGCACCAACAACAGAATTAAAGCCTCAGATCGAGACAAGAATAGAGAGATGAATGGGATAAACTTGCTCCGTTCGGTATAAATTGCAGCGTTGGAGTTCAGAGACTTTGTTGTAAACTAGAATTATCTTTTGCTGACCTCATCTCAGTTCCCTGAAGAAGAAAATAAATTCATGAGAATTACTGTTGCTCATAAAAAAAACAAAAACAATCCCACGCCGCTTTCTGAAATAATCACATCTCATTCCGGTTCTATCTCATACACCGAGCACCACTTGAAGAACTTTCCACTTCACCTCTAATAAGAACTTTATAACCAAGTCTGCCGTTTCAGGCCAATCCTGCTGATAGCTCAAGCATCGCAAAGCCACAAATGGAAGCCAGAAAGTGAAGCACAGCGGAGAACGTCTGAGACAATGAGGTAAAATGCATCTCACTCCGCTGGTGCGACCAGACGCCGTTAAATGTAACATGAAACTATAAATATCAGTGGTTTCTAAAAGCTTTTCTTTATTCGGACTAAATCAAATTCAGCGAACATATCTGCTCTTTCCTCACACACACTGATTCACAAATCTATGACTTATCGATCCACTTACTTTACTCCTAGTGCAGACGGAGCTGACGTTTGATGGAACGATCCTCAGCAGAACTGAACCCTTATCTACACCATGGCTACAACTGTGACAAGATGGTATGAACTACCACAATTACTTAATGATTGCACTGTAAGTTAATATAATATTTATTACAACTAAAATAGATGTTATATCAAGGAAAATTTAGAACTTGATTCAAAAACTGTAAAATAAAAGAAAAAAGGTTTAAGGCCAGTAACTGAGTCATAGTCAACATTATAATAAACGTTATGAATGCAATTTCTCTGCAATGTTACTAACAGTTACATACTTTTCTGATATATCTGTTTAACATATGAAGAGTAAAATCATATTTTAAAAAATAAAATCCCCACATTTACAATACAGAACTCAAATTGGATCTGAAGGTAAATTTAACTACAGCGAAATTAAATATTTGTATTTTTTATGCAGCATGCAAGTGTTGAAAAAGTGTACTTTTGCAGTAGTTTATAGAATACTAGATATTTAAAATTATTTCAATGTTTCAGGATAAATGTGTGTTTAAATGCAAGAGAAACATTATGAAAATGCATGACAGGAATATGTTGAATAGAGTTGAGTAGTAATTATTGTGATGATAAAAAATGTCTCTAGTGGACAGGGAGGTTATTACATGCTTTAAAGGCAGATTGTCTTTAGGATAATGTTTTTTTTTCTACCCATTTAAATACAAACATGGTAGATTCATCGTTAAATCACCGTAGGCATTGGATTGGAACTGGAAAAGTTGAAGCTTTTATTTGCCAGATTACTGGCTTCAGTTCTTTCCTTTATCCTGTTTTTTAGGGCAAACAGCAGCATAGTTGTTACAGGAATGTGATATTCACTCCTCTCACATAAACATTATTGTCCATTGAGGCTTAAAAGGAAGTTCTCCATGGGGCGTTTTGCACAAGAGGGGCACACACTGCCTGTCAGTGCTGGAAGGGTCTATTTATATCATGTTTATATTTGAGGCTTTTAGACACGTACTTATCCAGAGGAATTTGAAATGAGTTGGCATGTAACCGCTCCGAGGCACAGGCACACGGCGCTCAGTTGCTGTGGGGACCACGTCGCTGAAACTTTGTCTGTAACAACAAAACCGCCACACGGCCCGGGCTCAGACAGATTTATGGGGGTCTCGTAAAACACTGTCACCGACCGCCGTGACTGCGTGAGGCTTGTGTGTCTGCCCCAGCATTTACAAGCCTGCAGTGAACTGAAATGGAAACGATCGCATGAGGACAAAGCAGCATAGATGTCATATTTCAGTACTGAGAATATCACATGACATCACACACTGTTTTCCTCTTAGCTACAGTGTAATCAATCATTTTTACTCACTGTGTTTCTTTTATAATAATAAAATACTGCTATCTGTAGCAATACCAGTATCGATACGATACTTCTTTCGTGTACTTGTACTTGCCAACCCCTGTATCAAGGTTCACTTTTTTATTCTTGGTTCTTGGTTTCATCCTCCAGGATGGACTATAGGGGGAGCCTCTGATCATGTATCTATGTTTTTCTTAGATATGTCCTTGTTATGTAGTTATTATGATGTGATGATAAAATATCAGTGTGAGCCAATCAGACGGAAGAAAGAAAACTCAACCTTTCGACATCGATTTGTGCCACTCATGTTGACGCGTCAACAAATCATTTTTCCTGTCGATGACCTTATAGTTCCTTTATTTACGTGCGTCAACAATGTCAGCAGTTTGGAACATCATTTCTGTAATATTTGTTCTATTACTATGTGAGCAAATTATTTAAACTCCTAAATACACTCTGGTAAAAGGTGAAAAAACTCCACTCACTTTCTGTTCAGCTGACTGTGGTTTATTGGTGTACCTGGTGTAATCCTGTCACAGTTTGGATTCTTTTAGTTCTTCTACAAATAATGTCTACAAATTATGTTTAATTATGTTACATTCTTCAGAGTGAAATCACCAAAGTCTATGTCAGTTTGTAAAACGGTGACTTTAAGGGAGAAAAAAATGATTAGAAAACTGGTCACTGTTAGTGATTTATTTCGGGTGATTTTACCGAACAAAGAAGATTTAAGTTTGGAACGAGAAAGAGTTTTTACCATCTGGTTCAAAGAGAAATCAGTGTTTGTGTGTGTGTGCAGTTCAGTGTGTATGTGGGTGTCCAACTGCATTAAATCAGGTGACCTCGGGAGGTGACGGGAACCATCTGAAACACACTCCTCATGACTGATGAGGTGACCTCTGACCTCTCCGTGTGTGTGACAGCCTTGCAAGATCCTCTTGCCTTTTAAAGTCCTGTGTCACGTTCCCAGGCTGCGCTGAGATATATCTGTGTTATATATGTACACATTGTTGGAAAAATGCTCCTGGCCTATTTTTAACAAAGTAAACTCTGACTGGAATTTGCATTTTTTTTTTTTTGGTCTGAACAGATGCTCCTCACTGTGCTGCAATTACAATAATTACAACAAAAGCCATACATAATTAGTGGCTAAATTAAGAAATCACAAAGCAGCTTTGAAAGCAGCTGGTAAAACACTTCACAACTAAATCAGTCAGTGCCAGGCTGCTGTTAAAATATGAGAATGATGAGACGAGAATGATGAATGTGTTTATGAAGGGTAGAGGCAAATGTAAAACTGGAGATAACTATATATGTGTATATATATATATATAGACCTTATATACATATATACATATATATGTATATATATATATATATATATACTGTATATATGTGTGTGTGTGTGTATATATATACTTCCTGAAGGCTGTTTGTGAACCAAAAAGTTTGAAAACTGAAACAATTTTCCCCGTAGGAATCAAAATAAAATGGATTAATCCATTAATCCAATAAAATATTTTTTAATAAGTCTTAGAACTCCTTTGTATACATGCATATTTATTTCTTTGACGTGATGTAAAGTTATTGATCTGTAGGAACAACTCTCATATTGATGAATATGGAAGTAGCATAAGGTTATTATGTTCCATGTACGAGGTATCATTAGTCGACATCTGTCTCACGTTACCAGAACAAAAGCAGAAAACTAATGATGTATGAGTGAGTGATGGTCCAGTGTGTATTTATGACTCCATTATCTCTCTATCATCTCTCTCTCTCTCTCTCTCTCTCTCTGTGTGTCTGTGTGTGTGTGTGTGTGTGTGTACCAGTACCAGTGTAAGGTCGGTCAATGATGATCTTCTTGATTGCTGTGAGCTAATGTCCTCTGATGGTAGTAGTAGTAGTAGTAGTAGTAGTACTAGTGATGTAGTAGTTAATAATAGTCAATAAAATATTATAATCTCTGTGGAGTATCGAGAACGTGGTTTGGTTATGATGTAATCCATCTAAACTGCTTTACGTTTACTTCCCAGTGAGTACAGTACAGCAGTGGGTGTTGTTTTGACTGGAGTGACATACAAACAGAGGTGCAGACAGTTCAAATTTATCATTAACTTGAAATTTGTAATTTCAAGAATTTGTAAAAAACGACCATGAACGTGACGTGGAGTTGAGCTAGTTAACGGCTCTAATCCACCTGTTGTACTTCTCTGTTTCTTCAAAGATAAAGCTGTGAAATTCTCCCAGAACGATCATTTGTGAAGCCAACAGTCTATTATTATCAGCTCACAGAAAGTAACAGGGAACACAGTGTACAGAAAAGAGGCAATTATAGCCTTTTAAAAATGGCATTGTGCTGATAATACAGATTAGAAGGGTTTTACTGCAGGCATTTGGAGGCGCATGGAATAAGTAAATTAACCTTTTACTTTCTGGGTAAAAACGATCATTTATTTTTCCATTTTTTGTTGTCTAAAGACCTAATTATGCACATATTATATATATATAACATGAACTTCAATTGTTACACAGAAAAATCAATGAGAACCATAACAATGTAAGGTTTTATTAAGGAATGCTCGGTATCCGATCTCCCGATATTGTCCAAACCCTTAATTTCTGATTCCGATATCAACAGATACCAATATATGCAGCCATTTGAGTTAAAGGGAGAGTACACATTTCATTTTGTGCAGTGGTGTGCTGTGTCACAATGACAATACTGTGCACAATCCAAATAATAGTTTCACTTTCACTTTAAAACTACTTTTAGGTAACGTCATATCGGGTTTTCATTATCAAAGGAAAAAACGTAATATCGGGTTTTCATTATCAAAGGAAAAACCGGTAACGCTTCTTACCGATACCACATAATTAAGCTAATATCGGTCGATAATATCTGTTGGGATATGTTATCGGACATCCCTAGTTTTCTTATATGAGTATATGGAGTGTGTAGTAGTATCTGCCATTACTGAGGCGATAGTTTCCCTCTCTTTTTTTTATGTTTTATCGTGTAATTTATCCCAGTATCGGATCGAGCCAAGAGGTGAATCCCTAAGACAGAGGGATCGCTGGTACCAATTTTAGCTGTCCATTATTTTTCTAGTCTGTGTTCGGTTCATTAAATGTTCCACAAAGTGATCGACTGTCTGTGTGTAGATGCTGGTGACCTGGTTTGTGTACACACCTGCACACACACACATACTGAACACACAAGGGATGCTTCACACAAAACAACCCTACAATAGGCGTGCTCATTAAGATGCTACATAAATTATGGATCGCAAACACATGGACTCTGGGCAAGACACGTGCTACCTCAGCTTTGGTGGAGATGAAGAGAATTTTTGCATTCAATAATGGATGGGCAGCTGCAGTTAGAGAATCAAAATGAACCGCGCTCCAAGGCTTTAGAACCTGCTTTGAAAAGAAAACATTTTATCATACGGTCAGTTCTTTTTGATTGTACATCTGAGACATGTAGTCCCAGATGTCCTGCCTTGATCTGTGTCTTTTTAAGTCATTGTACTACATCAAGGTGGAAACTGGATTAGTGGTTCACACCGTCATCGCATCATCACGTCAGCAGATTTACTACATGTCCTGTTTTTGACAAATATCATCAACTCAGAGATGAAATAAGCTCCAAGTAAACCCTGTGTAAAGATTAATCCTCTCTTTTGAGTCATGACAGAATTTTGAAGTATTGGCATTTGTGTGAACACAGTTCACGCCTGCAGGCCGTCATGAGATTGCTTCAGTGGGGTGATAGATGAAAAAGAGAAATCAGATTTGCAAATATATTGTCTGTTCGATAAGTGAGCAATAACGGTTTTGTACATGCTGCGAAAAACATAAAGAACTCCAAGGCTTTCACCAATAAGATGAAACGTCGGCTCAAGTGGAGAGTAAAGAATGTGGAATTGATTTCCTTGAGTTTCCTTTGCCTTTTTTTGAAATATTGATTCTTGTCCTTGCATTTGTCTTCCACGCCTTAAATAGGTGGAGGTCATGGAGGGAGCCACCACCACCACCACCACCACCAGCAGCAGCAGCTGCTCCCGGGGGAAATTTAATCACGTACAGTACCAGCTTAGAAATTAAGCTATGTCCTGTTTTTATAAACTGGTGGGAATTTGTTTAATCAGGAATGACACTGGGTTTTAATCAATTTTGGTGAAACTCCTTCATTGCTTATGCTTTTTAACTGATTTTAACTGATAAACACGTGTAGTGACGGTGTATTAGAGCAATGACAAATGAATGTGGGGTGGAATTATTGGATAAAAGTCAAAATAACCTTTATTGATACAGTCCGTTAAAATGATCATTATTCAAACATACTTGATTTTTTTTCAAAAGTTAAAAGGTGTAACACTCAGTCCAGGAGCCTACAGTTGGGCCACTTTCTTGTTCTGTCACAGTTGTTTTAAATGTCACATCCTGGCTCTGACCACTCAAATGTGCACGTTCCTGCAAATTCAGTTACATTTTAATAGTAGATAATTAAACTCCGTTACATGATTCAGTGTCTCCTACCCAGCCAAAAGGCATTCATTGCTTTTTGGCTCAGCTACAGAGATGCTAATCTTCCCTATCGTCTGTATAGTTCCCAGTTCCAACATGGGCTGCAGTGAGCCGTTCCATTGGGTCTGGCCCTGGAACAACATTATCAACAACAACAAAAAATGGCTGAGAAATCAGTGACCTAAATCTGATACCCTACCACATACATCTACCTGCCATCATTTTCCTTTCTGTTCCATTCACGAAATCTTTTGTGTCATAATTAGGATTAGATATCTATTTCAATTTATCGCAATTAATCGTGATTAATTACAATCGTGATTAATCCACAGCAGCCCACTGAATCCGATTTCAATAATTTATCTGCCTGTTTATACAAATGTTAATTCCATCTGTTCCCACCAGATCTGCCTGTCTCTGCGAGACTGGTTGGGAGAAAAAAACAAACAATCTAGCTGTCTCTGTTGTCTTGCAGAAAGCACACAAGGTGATTTCAATTTGATTCTTCATGAATAACAAAACATTAACTTAACACGACACAACACAGACACGGCGTGCAGACTCAACTTAGCCCTGCATGCGAAACACTTTCGACGTGTTTTACTGCCAAGATGTCCTCCTGTATATTTGTCTTTAAAAGCCAGTTCTGGAATAATACTCTGGGTAATGATCTGGGTCCTATTATTAATGCTAACACTATAATTTTATTCAGCTGTACCTTTTTTTCAAGCTGTAGTCGTTGCTCTGCTGCTCGTCTGTGTGATGTGTGTGGCTACTTAACTTACGTATTTTTTACTTTTCTTTTTTCTTTTTTCTTTTTTTGCTTGTTTATATTCTTTCTTTAGCGGGCACCACGCTCATATTTATTGACAATTTCATGCTTTATTTCTATGGTAATCTTGCATTTCTTCTTCGTACCACCATCCTTACCACTCACTCTCTTAGGACTCATCACTATTATGAAGAATAATGCACAAAATAGAGAGGAAATCACGTAGATAATGCAAACACAATACGGAAGACTCGGGAGATGCGTACGAAAGTCGACTGCAATTCTCGACCACCTAGCGTCTGTAATCGTGCTCGTATCTCGAGTATTTACTCGTATCTCAAAGCAAAAATTTGCTCGAAGGCTTGTTCGTATCTCGGAAGACTCGTATGTCGAGACTCTCGTATCTCGAGGTTCCACTGTACATACATTTTGGTATAAATTAACAATCTCACAAGTGAAGATCAGACACGTCATGAAGGTAGATAACATTGAACCTGCAGCTATAACCTGACCACAACCAAACATATTTCCTTTTCTTATACTTCTTATACTTCTGTTTGTCAGCAAAGGCTTTCATTACAAATAACCTTTTTATCTCGGCCGAGTCTCATGTTGAAATAACATCACCAAATTCACCCGCTCACTGCGAGAGCCGCTGATTTGAGAAAGGAGCTCCAAGATAGAAGCAGCAGTTTGTCTGCTCACCCAAGTGCACAGCAGCAGATGATTGTTGACAGCGTGCAGGTAACAACAGCCAGCTGCCACCAGCTTCACAGCATAGGCAGATATGGGAATTTGAAAAGATCTTGTTTATTCATTGCAGGGTTTTTCAAAACAGTAGTAAAACCTGTTTTGATGTACGGTTTGGAAACAGTGGCAGTAAATAAAACTCTCAGACAGAGGAGCCAGACTGGAGGATGCTGACAGGGAGGAGGAAAGGAAAGGCTTTCACAGATGTAGCTAGGAAGGACACAAAGGCTTTTGTAGCAAACGTCTCTCATGTAATGATTTTTGCAGCAAACTATTCAGTCTGTGTTGATGTTTTCAGCAGCCACTGCTGCTCGTATTAAGATTCAAATTACAATGCGATTCTTATTTTCTGTTAATCACCAGATGAAATCCTGACTGATTTAGAAATGTGATTAATGGGAATGACAAAGAGCATGAATCACTTCTTGTTTTGAATCATTTTGTTGGTCAAGAATTACATTTTCAAAGAGATTACAGACAAATACTCTATTACTGTGGATTCCCCTCTGTTTCATGTCAGAATGATGAAAGTTAAAATAATGAAATGTATGAAAGAATTCAATCTTAACAGTTACACTTCTTTTGACATGTCCAAATGAGTGATTTTAAGCGTGTTATCTAATCAGTGAATTGGATTTCCCCTCTAATCTAGAAACCATAAGAAAGTAATTTAATTCTGGGAATCAGGAGAGAAAACTCATAAAATCTAAACGTCTCCATGACCGTGGAGGTCTCATTATCTGGAACCACTTGCTCCTGGTTGTGTTTCCCTTGCCCAGCTGGACAGGAGCTGATTGGTCAGAAAAGGACAGATATTAGATGGCAGGTCCTGTCCCTTAAGCATGACCTGAAGGCTGTGACCAAGCCTGGACCGGTGCTGCTTGGCCAGGTTCATTCTGTATATGTGCACAACGATAGCTTTTTCTTTCTGGAAGCTCTTTCACCACCAAAGAGAACGATGTCAATGAGCCACGTATTTTGGGAAATCATGCAGTAAATTGAGAATATGAGCTTACCTCCGTGAGCACGGCTGGCTCAGCTACCGAGCTCCACAGCCAGGGCTGAGGTTTTCCATCCAGGTCTAGATGGGAAAAGATCAGCCAGGTTTGAAGTTTCTCCCCCTGAGTTCTTTCCTCTGAGGAAAACAATCAACCCCTTATTTTGGACCTCCTATTATCAGAAAGTTTGATTTTACGTCATCCAACCAGCAGAGGTGGAAAAAGTACTACAAAGATGTAATTAAGTAAAATTATCTTTACTTTCTTTAAATTCTACTCAAGTAAAAGTACCATCTAAAAAATGTACTTGAGTAAAAGTAACTAATTACTTTACCTTGTTATTTACTTAGTGATTTACTTACTTAAATCTTTCACTAAGATTAGAGACCAACTGCAATTAAAGTCGTGCTTTGCTCTGGTACTGCTACACTTCACTGAAACATCAGCTATCGGGGTGGATGCTAAGCTAAGCGAAAATAATTGATATGGCAGAGATGATGATCCTAAAGCGGTTTTGAAAACAGAAAGTTGTTAATTGTGACAATTCACAAAAGGCATCTTCATAATTATGAGAAGAACAAAGCCTCTCAACAGAGATAACTATAATAATAATGTATCATTTTGACGACTGCTTTTCTCTGTTCCACCGTTGTGTTCCTGCGAAAAGAAATAAACATTTATCTAATGATAACGATGACAAGAGCAGATGAAAATTTGGAGTTGAGCTTGTCACATTAACTCTGAGTCTGTCCTTTATTAGAATGACAACTCTTTAGACATTCAACGGGAATTAACACTTCTTTCACGTTTCTGCTCTTTCCTTGGGCTGATCAAGCAGTATGTTCACCGCTGACAGGAGACTGATTTGAACTAAATCAGTTCATTTTTTTATAATTTTTAAGTTTAATGATTCTCATGAAAAACATTATATTTTCCTTCTTTTACCACGGCAGCATTCTCCTCCTACCGAAATCTGTAAAAGTAACAGGGTACGTTTCGCCACCAGGGGACGTACTCATTACCTGTGATTGGCTTACACTGACATTTGATCATCTACTTATTTGAATTGTCATAATCACTTCATAACATGAGTGGTAACTTTAGTCTGCACGGAAGGAGCATTTACATAAAACGAACCAAGCTACCCATCACTGGTAACAGGTGCTCAGAAGAAAAATCGTAAGTGGCTACATGATCAGTGGCTCCCCCTACAGTCTGTCCTGGAGGATAAAATTGTTGCAAAGCAAAGAAAAAAGTGACATGAGTTGTGAGCAAAAAAGAAAAAAGTGACATGAGTTGTGAGCATCTCACTGGGGTCGGATAGAACCACTGACTGCTTTATGTAGCAAAAGTAATGTATGGATAATTACATGCGGATTGTTGGACATATGTGTCTGTGTAGTTCATTCTCTGGCTTCACTTTTGACGTTTCTTGAATCCTATTAATGAGTGATGTACTGCTGTCAGAGTGCAATTAACTTCTGCTACAAAGTGTGTTTTCTTTCATGTTGATGCAAAAGAGACTCTTTGAAGAAGATGAGGAGTTGCTCACCAGCACAGTCCGGTTGCCATGGCAGGGCTGACGCACAAACATGACCATATATACGCATCCTCCACAAACACACGCACGCACAAACACACAGCTGTTGCTATTTCCAGCCCAACAAGAATGATGTGAGGGTTCATTTTTACCAGTGTAACCCAGGGAGCAGATGGAGAATGGAGACAGGAGGTTGACAGGGGTGGAAGGACGGAGACAGGAGCAGGGATCGATAGGTGAGCTGAGCAAATGAAGGGAAGAAAGTATGAGGTGTCAGGAGGCAGCGTCAGAGGGCGAGACTTGTAACTCGTCGCTGACCTTTGCCCCTTGAGTGCTTTTTGATCTGTCTTCCTGTATATAAAACATGCAGAATGGGGTAAACTTCTGCCGTGGGACTGAAATTATTATTTTTTTAATAAAACCATAAACGCACTGTTATTTTCATGTTACTGAGCATCGCAGAGTGTGACAGAAATAAAGTGACACTTTGGCAATCTCCACACTGTTGGCTACACTGTTGTAGGTAAAGCTCGTCCTGACAGCTGAGCCACTCGACAAATACCACTTTGGATTTCTTGTGAAATGAGTGGGATCTATTCTAAGATCTGCAAGGGTTTGCTGCTCAGACATCAATTAGTTTGAAAATAGCAGCAAGTCACGGAGATTATTACCAGGAAGAATCAGAGAGGAGAGACGGACACCTGCGCCTCACTGTTTATGAACGCACATCTCAGGACCTGTCACAGAAGCAACATGTGACTCTGTCTGGAGTGAGAAAAATAATAATGTACACATATATATATGCTGCTGCTACTTGTCTATCTACAACAGAATACTGAAAAATGTGTCATTTAGGAATGTTGATTTATCTTGATTAATGATTAATCCGGATTAATCCCTGTGATTAATTAAATTTAAATAATAGTTGTGTCGGACGCAACAGAGCTTCAGCAGGCTTACATCTGGGGTAAGGTGAGTGCAATGATGCACCTACAAGTAAAGGACCAAGTTGTTATTATATGTAGAGTATGTGGAAGCACAATAGAAGAAGAAACGGTTTTCCTGAAACAAAGACAAGCTGTCATGTCTGTCTGTCTGTCTCTCCTAGGCTCGTTTGTGTCATGACACTCACCTGTGTCCTGTGCCTCTCTGGTGATTAGTCTTACTGGTCTCACCTGCTGCCCTGGTTATATATACACCTCTCTGCGTCACTCACTCTTTGTTGGGTTGTTGTTGTTGTGGTTGCTGTGCTTTTCAATTGAAGCTGTGGGTTTTGGGTTTTTTTTCTTGTATTCTTCCTGTTGTGTTTGTCCTTGTATGTTCTCCCTAAGTCACTAACTCAGTTCAGTTTTGTTGGATTTTCTTGTCTTTTTCTTTTTATTCTTTGACTGTTCTGAGTATTTTTTTAACATTGTCATTAAAGAAACTGAGCTGACCACAGTCACCTAAGTGCTGCATTTGGGCCTAGTCTGTCGTTTTCAATTGTGTAAAAACACACAATTTGAAAACAGTCATTGTCATAATGTCTCTGTTTCACCTGGATCACTGACACACACGTCTTCCCTGATATGTAAGCAGTAGCAGCAGTAGTAGCAGCAGCAGCAGCAGCAGCAGCAGTAGTAGCAGTAGTAGCAGTAGCAGTTGTTGGTTTTGTAGGAGGAAGTTTGCCCTCTTCAGTTCTCCCAGACCTTTCCGTACTGTTTCTCTCTCATCCAATGAAAATTATGATTTAAAAACTGCTCTGAATCTTGCTTTACTTCTCTCAGAAATTGAATAGGTTTCCATGACAACCACGCTGCCGTTTGTTTGCTGTCCAAAGCTAGATAATGCAGACAGAGTTGGGAATGAAACCTTTATTCTCTTGTGATGGCGATGTCTTTGACTGGACTGTCAAAATTGAGTTCTTGAATGTATCACTTTCTGTGACTTACTGCAACAGTAATCATCTTACTGTTGCAGTTGTTGTTCATATAAATTATCTTTATTTATCTGTACATGACTTATAGTAACATACAAATTATCCCATGACAAGGTCAATCTTACTGTTGCAGTTGTTGTTCATATAAATTATCTTTATATATCTGTACATGACTTATAGTAACATACAAATTATCCCATGACAAGTTTATCTTTTGAAGTCGCCCTTGTGTCTACCTGCCAGTGAAACATACTGGAATGGTCTGGGTTTGAGTCGGAGCTTTTCAATCACATGAAGAGGATTTCTTAACTAAACCTTACTAATAGAAACTAAGGTGAATTTAAATGTACTTTACATACAAGCTACTGTATTTAAAGTACAGAAAGCCCATCAGTTGCCACTGAGCATCTAACTGGTGATCTTTAATCCTGTAAGAGGCCAAAATACGTGCCTGGAGGGCTCTGCTAAAAATCAATGATTTTTGCATGAAAGAGTGATTCATCTATACAAACACCTCCAGCACAGATAACTGGTGAAGTGTGTCTGTGTAACGAGCACAAAGCTGTGCAGTACAAGAGCGGGTCCAAAGGTGGAATGCATCACATAATTGAGCAAAAAGAGTAATCAGGCTGAAAAATGTCTCTCCCCACCCATCCCGGTGTCCATAAGTTACCATGACAACCAGAGAGCAAAAAAGGAATTCCCTTGTGGAGCTTGGTCTCCCCTTTGTTGGAAAGATGCCCCAGCTGTTCCTCTGGTCTACAATAATCAGACACCAGTGTGTGTTTAAACACAAGTCTAAACACAAGAGACAAGTTCTCGTTACTGCTACATTCAAATGAAATAAAGGTGGAACTATATGGAGACAAAGGACATTTAGACATTTAAAAATTACAAATTGAGTTCATCTTCAGTCTCAGTGATGAAACACTCAATCAGGTCATTCCATTCTGTCGACACGTTTGCACCTGTTGAGGGAGGATTAATGTTGGAGCCCACTTCACATCTCTGATCCACCTTTAATAAGCACTACTTGTTATAAAGAGCTGCTTGACTTCTAGGATGGCAGTAATAAATCCAGTTCTAACAGCCTCCCGTGACTCGTCTAGCTCTATTTCTGCTTCCGCAACTATAGTTTCTGCTCCTCTTCTGTGTATAACCTCATCACTACTACAGTACCTGCACCTACCCTTCCTCCACACATCCCACAGGCTAAATCATCTACTCCTCTTCTCCTGCTCTGATTCAAGTGGGCTTTGGCTGATGAGCGAGGGGTGCGCAGGGCATCATTTACCACACACGTGCTGCTGGACAGCAGGAGACGAATGGTGTGGGCTTCAGTAGCCATCCCTGAGCGTCCGACTCCCTGGTGATACAGACTGTACAAACCATTTGACACGATTCCATGTGTTCTATAAAACAGCAGAAGCGGAAGTTAAGAAAGATGTCGAATTCTAAAGAAAAAGATGCCACCATTGCTGAGAAATGTCAGCATTGAATCACAAAAATCTTCTACTGCAGTGGTTCTCAAACTGTGGTATGCGTACCACCAGTGGTACGCGGGGAAAATTCATATTTTAACCTTTTTTATTTTCAATTGAATAAATCTTAAACATACCATGTACAATTAATACAACATTTAGAAAAAATGTGTAGCTACTTGTGAGATTATGAAATAAGGGGAATTCTAATGTTGGTCATCATGGTGGTACTCAGAGAGCTCAATGTTTTCTCAGGTGGTACAGAGTAGAAAAGCCCCCGCTATGTATGTTCCATTTGACAGTTGTCTCGGTCAGTGAATACCTGGATGGTATTTGAGCTTGCAGTGCTGAGGCGGGATGAGAACACTTTCCCGCAGGGTGTTTAAATGCCAACATGTGTATCGACTCTGTATTAGAGATAAACCAGATAAGATAACGTTATTGTCATTGCACTGTTTTATAAATACAACATTTCAACATATGTTGAGGTGGAAGAGCAGAAGACATTATTCTTCGTGTATATCCAACAGTGATCTCTGGTGTAGATTTGCATAATTGCCAATTTTGTTTTAAATTTAATAGCGGAAATGAAAATATCAGAATTTCGAAAAATCAGATTTTGTCATTTCAAATATTATATAATACTTGACTGTCTTAATGACTATTTCTGTGTCAATAAATACAACCGAATGTTCACCCGAAGGCTGAATTTCATACGATACATTGTGAATTGAATCACTTCTTCCTGTTTACAGAGGACTGAGAGCTTATTGTGAGGTTCTGATTTAAATTCCACTGTTCATGTGTTGTCTGTAACACAAAACACACACACACACAGAGACACAGGAATACAGGAGGTGACATTTCAATATTGATTCACACCCAGAGCACTGAGATGAAGAAGCGTTGCCAGAGAAGAGCAGGGAAATTCATCAAGGACAGCATGTGATGAATGAGAGTGACAAATATTGTGACATAAATGTTAAAAGTCACGTGTGACGCTGAGACACACAGTCCACGCTGCGACCAGAAGACGGAGTGATCCACGTTATTATCTCCTCTTCCAGCTCAAAGGAAGGACCAGCTAAATGTCACATCCGCTCGGTCCATGTGCGCCGGCCAGTGTGCTGACAGCTCAGCGCTGCCACAGGCGCTGCACTGGTACTCATTTATAAAGTATCCATATCAGCAGTGGCGCACAATAGCAGCTGTCATATTTTCACCTGAACGCCTCGCCTCCAGCAGACAATGGGCACATAAACGTTTCACAGGTGAGGATGCGTCTCCCCTCAAATGTGCAGCGGGAGATAAAAGTGTAACGCCAACCTT